ACCTAAGCACTCGTAAGGGTAATGTCTCACTCCCCCCGGGTGCCTATACACACAATACCTCCCCGGTTCCTCGCTATACGAACCGATTTATGCGAGAGATAGTGGTGAGTAAGTAGCGAGCCGCGAGGATTTCGTTTATTGCACAAATAACACACACACAACACACTACACACCCCACACACCACACTCACACACATACTATATATATATAATATATATATCTTCCTATCTATAAACAAAATCTATCTCCTTGGTATCTACCTCTCTCTCTTGGCTATTCTACTCATCATCTCTCTCTATCTCTTCTTAAATATCTATCTCTCTCTCAATTCCCGTCTATCTCCTCCCTGTCTCTCGTCCCGTTCTCCTCCTCATCTCTCTCCCTCTCCCTCTCTGTCTGTGTGTCTAGTGCTCTCTCCTGTTCTCTCTTTCCCTTTATATTTATACACACACCAACCACCACACACACACACATATGTGCGTATGTGTGTGTTGTGATGTATGTTGTGTGTGATGTGTGGTGTGTGTGTATGTATATAAATATACAATATATACCACATTATACCAATATACCCACATACATATATATGATATGTAGATAATAATATTTCTCTCTCTTTCTCTCTCTCTCTCTCTATCTCTCTATCTCCTCTCCCTCTCTATCTCTCTCTCCTCTCTCTCCCTCTGTGTGTGTGGTGTGTGTATTTCTCCTTTACACACCCACACACACACAACCACACCACAACCACACACACCCCATACACACCCCCACCCACACACACATACATACACACACACACATACGCACGATATAGAATATATATATAATCTCTGCTATATTCTCTCTATATAATATCCTAATCTATATATATATAATATATTCTATACTAATCCTACTATCTCTCTCTCTCTCTATCTATCTCTATCTATATGTCTATATTATCTCTCTTCTCTCTATATTAATACTATCTCTCTATATCTTATCTATATATATATATATATATTATTGTGCTATGTGTGTGTGTGTGTGTATTTGTATATTGTATATCTATACACACACACACACCCCGACCCACACCACACACACACACACCACACAGTCCTATATATATATAATCTATATATTATATAATATTATATATATATCTATATATCTCTACCTCTCTCTCTATATCACTCCCTCTCTCTCACTCTATCTACTCTCCTCCTCCTCTCTCTCTCCTCTCCTCTCTCTCTCTCGTCTCTCTCTCTCTCCTTTCGTCTCTCTGTCTCCTCTCTCTCTCTCTCTCTCTCTCTCTTCCTCTCTCTCTCTCTCCTCTCTCGTCTCGTCTCTCTCTCTCTCCCTCCTCCTCTCTCTACTCTCTCGCTCAATGATCTTTCAACATATGACATAACTCAAAAAAGGTACTTTCAAGGAGAACAAATAAACTTTAATATGTAATACAGTCTTCCATGTAGTTTAAAAGAGTATTTAGCAATGATGTTTATTACAGTATTCAATGTAGTGCCTGAATCAAATATAATAAATAATACCTGAACTGAAATAAACGCATGCCAACTAACGAATTCGTCTGAAAGAAAATGAGTCACTAGCCTGAGCGACTCCTAATATGGACAATTTTGATACTAGAGTTATGGCGTTCTACCCCAACTAATATAGAAATGATCAATCAGTGATATAACTAACTCCAAATCTTCATTTTTGAGTTATGTCCCGTTGAAATAAATGAGCATAGATATAATATATATAGATATCTCTCTCTCCTCTCTCTACTCTCTCTCCTCTCTTCCCTCTATTCTCTCTCACTGCTGTGGAGAGCATGCGAAAATATGTACTTGTGCTGAACTATTTACGCAGCTGGCAGGCGCACCTGTGGACGTTATCAACTTCTCGCATTGGATGTGGCTGAACCTGTCCCTGTTTGCGTGGTAATACCTGGCGAAGTTCGGGTTGGGATCCACCACCACCAGGTGTGTGTCCGGAGGGTAGTACGTGAAATTAGAACCTGCTGGAGGGTGGCATCGTTAGAGAGAGGATAAATATATAATACTTTTTTATGTGATGAAAATATTGAGTTAAAAGTCATTGGTCTTTCTAAGAATATCACGATTATTATAAGAATGTTAATGTGAATATGATAGATGAATATGTTATATATCCCAGAGACAGCACTATGATTAAATAGCGATTAAGTAGTAATCAGTCAATTGCAATAATAATCGAAAGACTTTTTTTTCATTTCATCACAAGGTCGCCGCGTCATCGACCTGTTCCGACGCCGATCTCCAGTATCCTGATGGCGCCCCTCTCCCGCAGCAAAGGGTCGTGCGACACCTCCCTCCCGAGGCCGACGAACAACTGCTTCTTCACCTCCTCCAACTTCACGGCTGGCTTCGTCGTGCTGAACCGCTGGACTACGGAGAGCCATCTGTCGGGAGAAGAGCTGTGGGTACTCAGGGTTGTAAAAGTTATGAAAACAGGTGCAGTGCTAGATGCATGCAGAAATCAGGGAAATACGCACGTAACCATA